ATATAGGCCGGGCGCGGTGGCTCAAGCCTGTAATCCCAGCACTTTGGGAGGCCGAGGTGGGTGGATCACGAGGTCAAGAGATCGAGACCATCCTGGTCAACATGGTGAAACCCTGTCTCTACAAAAAATACAAAAACATTAGCTGGGCATGGTGGCGCGTGCCTGTAATCCCAGCTACTGAGGAGGTAGAGGCAGGAGAATTGCCTGAACCCAGGAGGCGGAGGTTGCCGTGAGCCGAGATTGTGCCATTGCACTCCAGCCTGGGTAACAAGAGTGAAACTCCGTCTCAAAATAAAATAAAATAAAATAAAATAAAATATTAATAAATTACAGTCTCAGGTATTCTGTTATAGCAGCAGAAAACATATATTAGAATAACTTAGATATATTAGAATAATCCAGTTGTCCCTTGGTATCTGTGGGGAGTTGGTTCTAGGACCCCTGTTGATACCATAATCCACAAATGCTCAAATCCCTTATATAAACAGCATGATATGGCCAGGCACGGTGACTCATGCCTGTAATCCTAGCTCTTTGGGAGGCCACGCGTTCAAGACCAGTCTAGGCAATATGGTAAAACCCTGACTCTACTAAAAATACAAAAAAATTAGCCAGGCGTGGTGACGTGCCCCTGTAGATAAAGAATTTTCGGCGCAGCAGTGCTGGAGCCGTGAGGAGATTCGGGCCGTCACCCCCACCTCCCCTGGGTCCCGCCACCGACCGTCTTCGTCCTCGGACCTATTCCAACAACCTCTTGAAACATGGTGGATTACTATGAAGTTCTAGGCGTACAGAGACATGCCTCACCCGAGGATATTAAAAAGGCATATCGGAAACTGGCACTGAAGTGGCACCCAGATAAAAATCCTGAGAATAAAGAAGAAGCAGAGAGAAAATTCAAACAAGTGGCAGAGGCCTATGAGGTGCTGTCAGATGCTAAGAAACGGGACATCTATGATAAATACGGCAAAGAAGGATTAAATGGTGGAGGAGGAGGTGGAATTCATTTTGACAGTCCATTTGAATTTGGCTTCACATTCCGAAACCCAGATGATGTCTTCAGGGAATTTTTTGGTGGAAGGGACCCATTTTCATTTGACTTCTTCGAAGACCCTTTTGAGGACTTCTTGGGGAATCAAAGGGGTCCCCGAGGAAGCAGAAGCCGAGGGACGGGGTCGTTCTTCTCTGCGTTCGGTGGATTTCCATCTTTTGGAAGTGCATTTCCTTCTTTTGATACAGGATTTACTTCATTTGGGCCACTGGGTCACGGAGGCCTCACTTCATTTTCTTCTGCGTCATTTGGCGGTAGTGGGATGGGCAACTTCAAATCGATATCAACTTCAACTAAAATAGTTAATGGCAGAAAAATCACTACAAAGAGAATTGTCGAGAATGGTCAAGAAAGAGTAGAAGTTGAAGACGGCCAGTTAAAGTCCTTAACAATAAATGGGAAGGAGCAGCTGCTGCGCTTGGATAACAAGTAATTCAACGCATGCGCTTAACAGAAATGTTAAACTATAACAAGCACCATTTGAGGATTAACAGGAACATTTTTTTGAAGATTCCAAACGAACTCGACTTTCAGTATAATTGTACCTAAAGTATTTATAAACAGCTCATTGGAGCCTCTGTTTGTCATAGACTTTTGAGTTTATTGTTGGGACCACATAATAGGAACATTTTTTTTTTTTGTCTTTAAATTTGTTGTAAATCTCTGTATGCACTTTGCTTTTTTATTAAACGTACTCCAAGGTGAGTCTTGACTCTTTAGTGTAGGACAAGATTGTACACTAACACCAGCATGGACCTGCTTTTCATTGTGTCTGAAATGTGAGCCACGTAGTGTCGGCCTGCTGTGAAGTTAACATTGCCAGGACGAATCTTCTACAGAAATAATTTCCATTTTTTTCAGTATTTAGTAGTGAAAGATATTAATGCATTAGTGGTAATACATTTCTGGTTTAATATAAATTACGGATGTTTCCTAGTTGTGCATGAACGCTGGCAACTTAGTAAGTTTTGACAATTGTTTAAATATGTAATGT